CTTAGCATAGGATGTTATTCACTTGCTAGCTTGTGCTCTTGGGGGAGGACACCTCAGCTTTCCTCTTGGCTGGGCAGACATGCCACTCTGTGTCAAAACAGAGGAGCAGAGTGTGGTCCAGAGTGTTGACCAGCCTTGCTTTGAACAAAGGAGCCCAGCTGAGGTGGTTTGACAGCTCCTCTCTTTCACCGTGGTGCTGTTGGGTGCTTCAGCATCCAAGCAGCTTCCTTCATCAGTGAAAGATTTCCAGGGCAGGAGCCTGCCAGTGCTCTCCTTTGCAGCCCAATGCACAAGTGTTGGCCAGGACACAATTAAAATGTTCTGCATCTCTTACAACGCAAGGTCTCCAGGGAATGGATTTTTTTGGAAGGTTAAGATCAGGTCTATAAACCCCAAGATTTAATGTCCCTTTATCTTCCCATAGAGGAACTTTTCTTTTAACTGCCTCGATATCAATACACCCTGTGTGTAGCAAGTGACCCAATTTCTTTGTCTCCTGACATCCTGAACCCAGAAGCAGATGGACGTTAACCAGCTCTGATTAGTTGGGAGAATCAGGCATTAATTTTTTATACGCCAGAACCACCTGAGTGACGGAAATCAATTATGGCTGCCCCTCCCCCTTCCATATTAATGTGCTGGCTCTGAGCAGAGATGGAGGGACCTGTTGAAAGGAGAAACCCCTATTTCTTCGTTTGACCCTCTAGATAATTAGGGTTAAATTGATATGCTATCGCACTGGTGACACATTTTATCTCCCTCTGTTTGTACAAGAGGATACAATAGTGGAGGAAGGACCAATTTGTGCCCTGCTTTAGCTAACCAGACTGAGATAAAAGGTGTCACTAGTATGATAACGTTCTTGCATCATGCTCCTTTATTGTTGCTCAATTTGCCTTTTTTTTTTTTTTTTTTAATCTTGTTCTTTTTCTTTCAGTACCCTTGGTCATATTTTAACTCCATGCCATCGCATAATGACGCCCTGCTAAATGTGTGTGGAGATAGGCAACTCTGGCTGACAGCCTTCCCTGATAACCGAATTCCAGCCCATCCATCACCAGGCTGCTCTCCTTAACTTAAGGAAAGTGATAACTAAAGCAAGGCCGTTTATCACCGCCGAGCTGTGCGCTTCTTGCTGCCTTGGAGAGAGCTGACTTCAACAGCAGAAATGCAGCCATGTCACCTCACCTCCTATTTGCATCCTGTTCATCTCCAGGCTCCATTTACCCTGCAGGCTGGATAGAAATCTAAGCCTGGCGTGGTGAAAACTCTCTGAAAATGGTGCAGAGTTGCCACTGCTGACCATGGCCTAAGAAGGAGTTAGTCTTGCTTAGCTGGTGGAGGAGAGTGTGCTACCTGATGTCACTTGCTCTTCTGAGCAAAGGTGATCTGCATTTTGGGAGCAGGCAGAAGTTATGTGCTCCCATCTCTGCTTCTGGAAGGACAGAGCACCAGAGCTGCATTGGAGGCTGGAAAATCCCACAGCCATTTTCAAGTTTCTCTATACTGAATGCGGTTTGGGTGTTGGGGTGGTTTTTGAAAGACAGCTTCCTTCCCAAGGAGTGAGAGCTTCAGTGTTTGGGAAGCCAGTTAGACCTCATCAAAAACTGGAAAGATCATGGGATGTTGAAAGCAGCAGAGTGTGCCATCATTTCTCCCTTACCTGAGGGAGGGCCAAATCCTGAGCTCTCTGCTAAAGCAAAGCTGCCCTCAGTGAGCAAGTTTTGCTTTGGCAAGAGCAAGAAGCCAGACAGAGCATAAAAGCTTATTTTTCAAATAAGTGAATGCTCAAGTGAATGGTGGCTCTGATAAATAAACATACTTCCTTACAGCCCATGGTACTTCTGTTCTCCGGAACAGCCACAGATGTGCCTTATTCAGTCCAGCCTGGAAAAGATGGTAGAGAAACTCCTGCCTGGTCACCAGGCTGAAGAGTCGGGGGGACTACTGCAGGTGATAGTCTTACAGCTGGGGAAAGGATTTTTAGGGGGTATTTTCCTCCTCATAGCTACTGGGAAACCTGGGTCCTGTGCAGTGAAAGCCCCTGGTTCCCTCTGTCAGGAGTGCTGTATACTCAGACTAGACCAGACCCATATAGCAATCTTTTGCTAATCCTTGCTCAGTGGCTGTGACCCCAGTGGCCTGGAGCCACCAGGACTGCCTCTTTCCTCAGCTCAGGGATAGACTTATGTTTTGGTCTGTACTGCTGACAGCTCGCCCGGGTTATAACGTGAGTTTGGTCTCCTGGTGCTTGAAAAACTTGAAGCCCCTCTGCTGCTGACAAGAAATGAGGGGAGCACAAGCTTGGAGGGGGAGGGGGAATGTCCTGAGGTCACGCAGCTTCACAGGCAGTTTCTGGGGTTGTTACTTGTTTGCAAAATGTGTCATTTATTTAGTTGACATATTTATTTGGAGCATTTATTTTCTCCAATTAAAGACCCACTGTCCAGCGCCCAGGGCACACTGCCATCAGTCTCAGGGTGAAAATAGAACCAGACTGTCCAGTTTGCTGGGCCTTTTGGTCCCACAGGGATGGCAGTGCTTTAGATGTCATTCGTTGCAGTAGGTGGTTTGCTGTCAATTCCTGTGGCTAACAAGAACAATGCTGCTCTCACTTCTTCTGGGTCCTATCCAGAAGTTAGGTAAATGGATAATTTTTCTTCTAACTGGAGCTAGGCTGAGACCTGTATTAATGAAAGCCTCTTGGGTTTGGAGGAGAAACTATTTTTTTGTAACATACCTTTTGCTAACTTCTGTTGTCATCTTCTCTAGCTAAATGTGAGCAGACTGAAAGAGGTTGAGCTAATCAAGTGCCTATATTGGGATCATTTGTTTGTTTAGATGATTCCTTTTCTTGTAATTCTTGATTTGGGCACCAGCAAAAAGCAGCTTTCCTGGAGAAAGAGCTTTCTCAGCATGCTGCTTGGGGCTGGTTGGGGCTGTTTGACTAAGGGACGTCATGAACATCTGTGTAATTGCTGTAAAGTGCATGGGCCAGGCTGCTGTTCGTGTGGCAGTGTGCAGTTGTGAAGAGTGATTCCAGGTGCTTTATTTCAGCACAATGGCATCAGGTGAGCTGTGCCCCGGGATGGGACTGTGCTGTCAACTTGCACTACTTGCCCTGCAAATCGCCCTGGCTCTGCTCCTTGCTGGCTCGTTCTTTTGAAGCCTTCCTGCTTTCAAAGAGATTCATCTGGACATTCTTATTCAAATGTGTTTGTATGACTTAAATGATTGGTCCTGAATCATCACATGTACATCTTCTCAGGACCAGGCATTTGACTTTGGCATAGGAAGTCTATTACTTTCTTAGACTAAGCAGGGCAAAAGTAGTACACAGGTGGGTCCCAGGGTGTGCTGGCTCTGTTGGCAACATATTCCCAGGAGATTCCTCTGGGTATGTTTTCCAGCTTCCTTCTTTTTTCTTGGCCTAGAAATGGAGGAGTCACCAAGACCAGACTGCTCTGGTACTGCACTACCCTGGGTCTCACATTATCTGCAAGTGCAGTATCTGTGTTGCTCCTTCATTTCTTTACTTGTGTTGCCCCTTACTTGGGGAAATGTCTGGAGAGATGCTTCCCTGCTCACCAAAGGGTTTGGAGCTGAGCTGACCACTCAGGTACTGCCTGGGATACTGATGGTGCACCTTGGGGTGTTTACCTTGTATCCACTTCTCACCAGAGCTTGTTCCTGTATTTCAGTCTTGAGTCTAAATAGTCTGGACTATTCACTCTTTCCTCCTTGGAGAGCAAGAGAAGACTTTGCCCTGTACATGATGGTCTGTGTTCAGATGTTTGAGCAGCTGATGCTGGCACTTCTAGCTCTTCCTCCTCCCCTACAATCTCCTCCTACAACCTCCATGTGCCTGAGGAAGTTGAAAGATTCCCCACACTCTCTGTTTGCAAAAGCTGATTTCTGGGGTTGTGACTTTTAACATGCACAAACAGCACTAATTTAGTCATTTATTTAGTTGACATATTTATTTGGGATGTTCCTTTGCTTCACTTAAAGATCCTGTGATCAGTGCCCCAGGCATGCTCAGCAGTATGTGAATGAACAAGATCCATCAATTACTCTTGATCAGATCAAAGTGGCCAGGAAATACTCCCATAACTCATGTCCCTGCACAGGCTTGGCTGCAGCCACACAGTTTGCGACTCAGCGTTCCCTGACCAAGGGGCACATCCTTGCTCCCCTGCAAACACACTGGGATCAGCACAGTGTGGGAGAAGCAGTTTTCCTGAGGTACTGCTGCTGTCTCTACAGGCAATCCACCTCCCTTACTGGTGCTGTTTTGTTTTGAGCCCTATTCCATCGGCTTCCTCTAGGAAGGGAGAGAATCTATACATGTGCTCACTGCTCTGGCTGCCGTGCTCACATCACTAGTGAGACAGTGTGCACCACCTTGTATCTTAAGAGTTGTGTCTGCTCTCTTCTTCCAAGCACCTGCTTGGAAAACAGCCTCTGCTTTCTTAGCTCTACAGCATTGCTGTCTGAAAAATGAATGCTTTGGTGCCTCCTTCCCTCCCTTATATCTCTTTTGATGTTTTAACCATAAAGGCCAAATGGAGAAGCACCAGGGCATGACAGGTGAATTGTCAGTCCTTCTGTCTGCCCTGTAAGCTGCTGGCAGAGCAGGATGGTTTTGCAGGGATTTGTGATAGGTTTACTTAGCCAAGGAGAGCCTGGATACTCCAGTTGTGTTTGTGTATTAGCCACTGTGGAGAAGAGCTGAGTGATGCTTGGTACACAACTGTTCAAAATGTTTAGTCTAAAAGGTTTCAGCAGCCTGGATGTGCCTTGATGTATGTAAGTCTTAAGCCAAGCTGTATTCTCATGAGATTTTTTTGCCAAGAGCTATAGTGTTTCTGATGTGCAGCATGATGTTACAGCAGACTTGAGAGTCTTTTCCATCTCTGAACAAAATGCACTTAAGAAAACAGAGTTTGTGTTGTCAAGGCACTGATTGAATCAAACTTGCTCTCTCTTCTCTCTTACAGGTTACCAGGACAATGCCAGTATTTAGGGCTGCCGGTTGCTGATTACTTCAAACAGTGGATTAATCTGAAAAAGGTACTTCTGTGCAAACTGTCATGGTCCCTATCTCCCTGTCTCCCTCCTCCCCTTGTCCTTCACTTTTCCTCTTTAAGGAGGTGTCTAATAACTACTGCTGTTTTGCATTGAAATGAGTTATTTTCTCAGAAGCTGGGCTGAGCAAGTCCTCCAGCTCCCTATTGTATCTCCTCTAATAGAGTCTTACTGTACTTGATGGGATGTGTTCTGCAGCTGGGGAGAATCCCATTGTGGCAGGCACAGTGCAATGTCTGCATAATATTGGGACACTGTGAGACCCTTTTTCAGTGGAGGTTGTGTTGTCACCAGTATTGCTGACTTTGTTTTGTTTTGCAGCCATATAAGGCTCTTAGGAGCATGGTTCCCGTCAGATGAAATTCCAGTTAATAAATGTGGAAATACTCCAATATAAAAATCAGCATTTCTCTTTGTGGCGTGGGGAAAGGGAGCTGTCTCAGCAGCACATCCACCTAAGAGATCAGTGATCACTTTGCTAAGCAAAATGCCTTGGACTGAGTACTGTCTGGTGCCTTGTCTTTTGCTGCACACCTTCACTGGGTGGTTAAGGAGCAGCATGCTGTGCATCCACAAGGACTCCTGGTGCAGCTGCTTCATCTGCACAGAAAAACATGGTGATGCCATAAGTCACACACCAAAGTGGGAAGAAAAGAACAAGTGTGATTACAAGCAGGAGCAGGGTGACAGAGGAGGCTGCGGTCTGTGCACAAGAGAAATGGGGGTGGCCCTCCTGCTTAAATCTTTAGTTGAGTAAGATTCCCTTCCCCCATCCAATTTAGTGCTTTATTTGGGTTTCTATGCCTTTTCCTGGTAATTAAGGATCTCAGTAAGCAGATTTTCTTATAAACAGCTCGTTGTTCTTGCAGGCTTTTCTTTTGTTCTTTTACTTATTTATTGTTTTAAATGGAAGCGTGAGTGACAGGCTGAGCAGCCGCAGAAGGACAATTTGCATGATCTGTTCCATCAAATAGGGTAGAACATGAACTTAACAAGGGATGCTGGCAGCACATTCCTGGCTGAACTTGTCAAAGGGTCTTGTATTTCCCTGCTGTCAGAGCAAATCTTTTGGCTGATTGCTGGTCCTTGGTAAATGAAATCTGAAAGCACATTGGGGCATTCTGCAGTTCAGTGACCATTAATGATCGCCATTTGAAGTTCACTAAACTTCCGGTGAATGGATAGCAGCTATATAACCAGCAGGTTGATAGCTGCAGAATAATAATACTCAAAAAAAAAAAAAATCCCTGTGTACTGTGATGTTTGCTAAGAAGTAGGTTGATCCAGCCATGCTCCTCCTCTGGGCCTTAGGATGAATGACTTATGGCACTTTCCCATAGTTCAAGGCTTCTGGATTCTGTGTGTTAGGAGCTGGGATTCCTCATTATGTGAATGTCCAGACAAGTGTCTCTTCTTCAAGGTGAGCATTCATGTATTGCATGTTAGCAAATATTGTGATACTAAGCTGAGGGCTGCTAAGCATCCGTGAAGTCCCAAGCACAGAGCTAAAGGCAGGAGCAGGAGGGAAGTTGTTACAGTGAAATGTTCCCCTATCCAGCTCTCTGAAAGGGTCACATGCTGAGCATGTAGGATGGGGGCATGTGGGTTGGGTTGTCCTCCTCTGCAGATGTGTTATTTGGAAAGTAAAGCTTCAACCTCCTTCGGATTGTGCAGGAAAGGGGATGTGAGAGAGAAATGGTGATCTTCTTCCAGCCCCTCTAGTCCCTTAAAAACAATGAAGTTTTTCTGTCACTGTAATACCTGACACCCTCTGAACACAGAATGGTTCCAGGGACGCGGTGTCCCTCTGGGAAGTGACCTATGTTGCAGAGAACAGCAGGGGCCTCTCCTGTCTTGTGACTAAGAGCTGCTTCTCCTGGGACTTGCTCTTACTCTGTGGTGGTGATCTTTCTATGCCATGCACTTTCAGGTGCTTGTGGGGCAACTGCCTGTGTGTTTTCACAAGAGAGAATTTCCTGCCTAGATAACTAATTCTGTCAAAACAGATGGACCCAGTGGAGACTCAGTCTCTGTTGAATGAGCTCCCAGAGTGAGGCAGATAGGAGTGGACAGGTAACTAGCCCCTCCATTCGTCCCTTCATAGCTCAGGTGGCCCTTTTCCCCCTCCCTCTGGCACATTGCTAACTTAGAAATACCTCCTAGGCTGAATCTGCCTCTGACCTGATCCATGAAGTAAGTGAAGGTGTTGGAAGGTGGGTGGGGCTTGCAGTGTGAAACTGATGATTTCTAGGTCATGGATAATGCAGAGACTTGAATGTTTCAGATCTCAAGGAAACAGGCACATATGACAGAGAGTAGTTTCCTGAAGGAGGGGCCCACCTGCACCTGCTGTATCTTCTTTGAGTCTTTGCTTATGGGCAGTGATAACAAGAGGACCTGTCTGAATTAGGGAGCTCCTGCTGCAATTACCAGACAATGCTGAAGTAGGATTACACGCAGACAAGTTTGTGTACCTATGTGAATTGCAGTAGCAGCAAAATATATTCCAGATTCCTCTGCCAAGGCACACACAGCTTCAGGTCCTCTTTGTCTCTGTTTCGTATCATTTTAAAAAACAGTCCTTGTCTGGACTCCCTCTGCCAGAGCATGGGATGCTTCAGAGCTCAGCAGATCTTCTTCCTGCAGTGGAGAGAGAGTCTTTCTTAGAGTTCATTTGCCAATAAACGTCCCTTTTCACTGCTGTGCTGCAGGAGCAGTTGAAGTGAGAACTTTGTGCCTGCAGGCAGGTTTCACAATTTCTAAGACCTGCCTCTTGGGCAAGCTGGAGACAGAAATTGCCCCCAGTAGCTGTCATGATTACTTTGCCTCTAGCAAACCTTGTTGGATTGATCTGGCCGTTCAGGTGGTGGTGAGCTCCACATCTGACTGCTGCAGTGGTGGCCACAGTGTCTTGGGATCTGTAAAAAAGCCTTCTGTGGAGGAGATGGGGGGGGAAAAACTGCCTGTGCATTTGACCATGTTTGCTGAAGTTTTACCTTGCCCTATGCCGCCCCAGCCTGCAAATGCATCCCTTCTGTCAAGCCTGGTCGGTGTTTGCTGACATTTTTAATGTCACTGAGCGATCTTGTATCTCTAGTGAACTGTCAGTGTAGAGCTGACTCGGGGCAGAGAGTTTATCATGTTCTTCACTTCGATTAGCTCAGCCTTATGGGAGGGGAGCAGAAAGCAGAGGAGGCTTTCTTTGAATGCTGCAACATTTCAGATATCCCCCTAAACCATCTCAATAGAGAGCCACCATCCCTTCTGCCAGCTCTCCTTAGGGACCTGTCATGTTGATATGCAGAGGCCCCGTGGGTTAGGACTGAGGTGCAGAACCTGAGCTACATCACTGGAGCTGGATGCTCAGGGTGGAAATAACAGAGAGGGCTTCATGTCAGCAGAGAGGGGCACCAGTGGAGTAATGTGTGCAAAAAGCAGGAGGCCATGGGTCAAGATTTATGCAAAAAGGAAAGCTGCTGCAGCTAGCAAGCTACAACCAAGCTGCTGCCCCGAGAGTATCCTCCCGTAGCCTGGGTAAACCCATGACTGCTTATTCTTACACAAGGATCAGCTTTCATTTGTGCTCCCTCTGCTCTTTCAGGAGCCTCTGTGGTTTGTTTTCCAGGTCCCACTAGAGTTAGCAGCATGATTGGTCCAGTGATGAATCCTCACCCCTGGGGCTGGAACCAGTGCTGTGTTTGGCTGAGGACACAGTGCCTGCAATCACAGGGTGTCCAAGAGACTGGGAATGGGAAGCCCAGCAGGCAGTAGGAGTTGTCAGCACCATTGGGGTGGGAGCATATCACTGAAGGGAGAGTAGTTTAAAGGAGGGAGGACGTGGAAGAAGAGAGGTTAAGATATATTTTCTTACCATGAGCTTGTGCAAGAAGAATGTTAGATGATGAGGGTATCAAAAGGGTGAGACCAAATGTGTAACCCAGATTATCTTTGTGCCAGAAGCCAGTAGCTGATGCTTGCAGATGTAACAGGGAGAGCATGGCTTGAGTCAGCTTTCTCTGATTCCCAGCAATTGTCTCCTCAAGAACTGAGAGCTGTGCCTGGACCACTGCATCTAGCACAGTCTGTCTACCAGAAACTTGTACACCCTTTTCTGAATCTGCTTATGCTTTCAGTTTCTACAGCATGCTGCGGCAATGACTTTTGCTATTTAATTATGCATCAATTATACTCTGTTTACTCATACATTGTGTGAAGACGCAGGTCCCTTTGTTTCTTTTAAACCTCTTGTCAGATTATTTTCTTTGACCTAGGTCTTGCATTGTGTGAAAGAACATGTGTTTCGAGTTCTTCTTCATGGTGTTACTCTTGATTTGAGACTCAGTCATATTCTTGCTCAGTTGTCTTTTCCAGCCCAGCAAAACTTGTTGGAGGGCTTGCACAAAGGCACTTGTGGACTCTAGAACTGGCTTGTGGAATTCTTAACATGTGTGCACTATCCTTCCTGATCTTCCATTTATTCTCTGGATGTTTTGCAGTTAAAAGATAAGAGGAGTGTTTTATGTATCCACTAAGGGTTTGTTTTATTCCTTGTTTCTCAAATTATAATTCATTTATTTTTTAAAAGGAAGACAATCTTCATACCCATCACAAAGCTGTCCCTTTCTCCGCACAGCTATCCTGGCATCTTTGACCATCTTTGATTTCTGTTTAGAGGGTGCAGCATGTCTTTAGATACAGTAATAGTGGCTGCTTTAGGAGTGAGAGAAGACTAGTCTTTAGTTTGACAACCTCCTGAAATTCAGGGGAGTTTTTATGAAAGGCAAGAGTTGAATGATGAGTGTGGAGGATTGTAACTTTCCCTCTCTGGGCATGATGAAACAGGCTTGATAGAGCCTGGGGAGCACAGTGTGACCATGCTGGGGTGCTGTGGCTGTGCACAGAGCTGGCCTTTTCCAGGGTCGGCCTTTACTGATATGTAGATATTCTTGTTTGGAAGTGAACTGTTAATACACATCCACAAATGT